TCCACCTCCTCATTTTGCTGATGAAAAAACTAATCCCCAAAGGCTTACCACCACATTCATATAGCTGATCAGTGGCAGAAGTAAGACTTAAAACCACATCTCTTGGTTCTAAATCCAGGGCTAGAGATTCTGGTCCCATCCCTACCACCATTACTAATTCTCGAGTGTTCTGGTACAATGTGTATCATCGTCCTACTGCATGCCATGAAATGATTCCCAGTTGTATGCTGCTATACCATTACCCTTCCCCTATAACTCCAGAACTCTGAAAGTCTGGGGCTCTCCCCCACCTCTGAGTAAGCAAAACCTGTTAAATTCTACTATCAGTTCTGCCTTCACTTCCCACAGTTGGTATCCCTGAAGTAACTCTTATTGGCATGTGTCCATGTCTGTAAGACTGGCCCATTGGCTATAGGCCTTCTACCACATAATCTCACAAAAAGAAATGAAGCTTTTTCACTGGAAAATGTACAGGAAGGGATTTTTTTGTACTTTTAGTCTGTATATATATATTTATATTATTAAATTTATATTAATAAATAATTTGATAAATATAATTATGATATATTATATTAGATATATAATATAATTATAAACAAAATAGCCCCCAAATTGCTTGGCATAACTCTTGAGAATTGATAAGGAAGACATTTATGGGCCAAACATTATTCCCTAGAACAGAAGTATTGGCCTACCACACAATGTAACTGGGAAGTATTTAAGAAAATAAATAAAAATACAATGAAACATAGATGTTAACATGTGGTTTTCTAAGTCAACATGCGCCTACAGAGATCCTTATATATGGCTTGGTGTCCCTGATTCTATTTGAGTTTTATACCGTTGTCCAGGTCCTCTAGTGACCTCTGCACTCCTGGGGCATCTAGGTGACAAGTGGACAGACCCTGGAGTCAGGAGGACCTGCACTCAAATCCAGCCTCAGACACTTAACTATCTGTGTGAACCTGGGCAGTCACTCAACCCTCTTTGCCTCAGTCTCCTCATCTGTAAAATGAGCTGGAGAAGAAAACAGCAAACCACTCCAGGATCTTTGACAAAAATGGGGTCACAGAGAGTCATGCATTCAACTTTTAAACTTCACCCCTGGTCTTGTGATGCCCTGGTTGATGAATGCCTTTCTTAGGAACCACTCTGTATATAGGCTGGCTGCAGTAATGCTTCAGTCTACACCTGAGCCATCTTCTCTCCATCCAGCCTACTGGCATACCTTCCATCCAGCTCTGGAATTATAAATAAATCAAGGCTGCCATTGTTACTAGACAGGGTACTACTCCCTTCTGGATCCTCTCACTATCCCTGCAACTTTCCAAACCAAAACATTCCCTCTCCATACATAGTCTCTCCTTTTTAGAAAAATAGCTCATGCAGCTTATAAGTATCTGAGGCAAGATTTGAACTTAGGTCTTCCAGACCCAAAATCTAACATGTTGTCCACTCGATCACCTAGCTGGGCAGCGGCTGCTTCACTTTTGAATTTGTATCCCCCATACCCTACACAGAGGAAGCACTTAATAAATGCTTTTTATATCACTACCACTTATGGAATAATAAGGGAATGTTTTCCCTCTTGGTTTCAGACAAAACACAAGGAGAAATATGGCACATTCAAAGAATTAGAGCCAAGAACATTGGGCACTGTACCAGTTGCCAACAATAATGTCTGATTTATGAGACAGGATTCCTAATAAATCTCTCAATATGGATATTTGGCATCCAAAATGCCTTAAAAATGGACAGAATTCACATACCTTAAAACAGCTGACCAATGCTAGCACAGCATATTTTCCAAGTCCCATAAAGAAAGGTTTAGGTGAAAATGATCACTGTGACAATTCTGAATAAATTATCCCAACAACAAAATGTCCTATTCATACATTGGCTATAGAGGCACTTCCCTCCGATCAGTACATTCTTAATACACTTGACTTGGATCTAAGGTCTGCCTTACACTATGTGCTGCAAATAATTTTAACTAGCATTCTCTTATCAATTTATAAAAGAAAAGAAAAGAAAAGGAAAGAAAAGAAAAGAAAAGAAAAGAAAAGAAAAGAAAAGAAAAGAAAAGAAAAGAAAAGAAAAGAAAAGAAAAGAAAAGAAAAGAAAAGAAAAGAAAAGAAAAGAAAAGAAAAAAGAAAAGGAAAGGAAAGGAAAGAAAAGCTCTAAAAGTGGCAAGCAAAATGTTGCCTTCAATAGTTGGGTACTCCCAAATATGCTCTGTCTTACTAAAGCATGAAAAGGATATATATTGGTTTACACTAAGTTAACACAGAGCCCCCACACTCCTGGGGCAGCTAAGTGGCAAGTGGATAGAGCACCGGCCCTGGAGTCAGGAGGACCTGTACTCAAATCCAACCTCTGACACTTAACTATCTGTGTGACCCTGGGCAATCACTTAACACTGTTTGCCTCAGTTTCCTCATCTGTAAAATGAGCTGGAGAAGAAACAGCAAACCACTCCAGGATCTTTGCCAAAAATGGAGTCACGGAGAGTCACGCATATTGAATAAGACTCAACGACAAAACACACTAAGTGAAAATAAGTGATAATCATTTAGCAAATTTGAGTATCTACTTTGTGGCACAGGTTACACTTGGATAAGTTCTGGGAGGAATATAAAGAATGATGAAAAAAGAGACCCTACTCTCAACGAGCTTACATGCTAGTCAGGGTGACATGACTGTCATCCTCGATTCCCAGAATTTCTGTAACCCAAGCTCACTCAGCAAGATGGCAATCATATTAACTCGTCTAAAGAATGCATAAGGAATTAATTGCTGTTCTAAAAATAATTTCCCCCAGAGAGCTATATGAGAAGGAAAGTAAAAGTAAACATGAAACCTAAAAGCAAAACATAAAATTCAAACAGGGAGTAAGTGAGACCAGATCTGTATGATGATAAGTGAGCCTTCTGCCTTATCTTGCCAGGACGCAGGCCTCCATGTCTTTTCTCACAGTCTCTTCACCATGCCCTTTCATGGGTACCCTTGCCCCACCTTTCTCCAGAACTCCCTTTTGAGTTGTAGTTCCCCATTCAAGTGGAAATTCCTGGAGGGTATCCTTGCCCCGTCCTTCTGTCAGTACCCCTTCCACCATTCGAATGTAAGCTCCTTGAGGACAGGAACTGTCTTGTTTGGTTGTATTTAAATCTCCGATGCTTAGCACAATGCCTGGCACAGAGTAAGTACTTAATAAACACTTTATCTAACTTCCTATTAATTCTAAAGGTAAGTACAGTTTGTTTCTATTCTCTTAATTAAGAGTATAATTCTCTTCAGGTCCTCTAAGACCTACGCCTGAATTCCTTAAATAGTAGCATACAACATTTCAATGGACTGGACTGTCTCCCACTTCTTTACATTTATTAAGTCTTTGACCCAGGTTAGCCCTGTACCTCACTTCTCCTTGGTTTCTAAATGACTCCCTTTTCTATCCCATTTCTGTCATCATTTCCCTTTTATCTTGCTGCTCTTACTTCTCTCTCCTTTGTCACTTTCTACTCCTGAATTTTACTGTACACTCACAAGTACTCTGGCTTCTTTGCCTTCTCAATTTATTTTTCCACATAACTTTCCTTTGTTTTCCCTTATTTCTTTGGAAAGTGAATTTAGAATCAAGAAATTAAAAAAAAACCTTCTCTACTTTATTCCAAATACTTATTAGCCTAGAGAGATTCTTCTGTTTTTGTTCTCCCTCACACTTCCCCATTACAACCCATTCCAATTGTTCCCATGGCATAGACCCCTTTTTTGTGGACCGACGCCTCTTTATCTGTCACCTCCTTGACTTAACAAAAACTTATCTTTGTATTCTCAGCATCTTACACGTTACAAATAGTAGATACTCAAAATATCACCCTCTCCCTAACTATAATATTTCTGAAGCTTCCATCTTTGCCATCTACTCTTCTGACTCCATACTTTCTCCTTCAGTGAACTAACCAACTCCCATGGCTACAAGTATCACCTATGAGTAACTAACTTTGGTAACTCTATCCTTCACCCCTCTTCTCAGCTCTAGGGCCTCATTCTGAAGGGCCTACAAGACACTTCCCCTTGGATATTCTGCCATCATCAGAAGCTCAAAATGTTTAAAACAGAATTCATTCCCATCGCCCCCCAAACTAGCTTCCTTTCAAAACTTCTTTCTTTCTGCTGTCTCCTTTTTCATTCGGAAAAGGCTCTGAAAACTACTCAGAATGGCAAAACCTGAGCGCAAAAGAAAATGTTATTGATTTGGTTTTTTTTACATACTCACCTTCTCTTCACAAACAATGTCACATTGAGTTTATTAAGAAATATAATACACAAAACTAAAATGTGGCCGTCCACAAAATCCCCTTCAGGATACTACCCAACCACATTCTGAAAAAAAAAACAAACGCTGCAAGTACTTTGTATTGTTCTTACACTATCATTAAAATAAACTCAAGAAACACAGCAGAAATTTCAGCATTTCTCCCTAGAGGGAAAAATAACATCATCACCAACAGACATTGATAAGCAATGAGCAAATATGGAGTAGAGATGGAAGGGGTGTTCTCCAGAACATCCTTTTAACAAAGGTAGCCTTGAGGCAATGGATTTGCCCTTTAAAGCCATTACCCCTGGATGCCACTTACTTATTTATACCACTTACTGGCTTGAGAAGTAAATACATTCTGGTCATGTCCATAGAACCATCTCAACCACCATATTTGAGTAGCACATGTCAATGGTTACCAGAATTGTGGAACAAACATAGAGGCTCAGACATTTCCACACAGAAGAACATGAAAGAACAATCACAGATTGACAACAATTGCTGCAGCTTGGTACATCAGGCGCAAAAACAGATTAATCAAAAATATGTGCAACACGTGTGTTAGTTTAGCGATGGGAACTAAATGAGATGTTTGTAAGAGGATGTGTGTGATGGGAAGCACAACCCTCTTGGTAGATTGTGCTTCAGTGGAGACGTGAACCAAATGAGCGAATAGTACCTGTCACGGTCTCATTAAGTGGTTCTGGACCCTTAATGGCAAAACCATCAATCTTGATCCATTCACCTCCTAAATTAGGAAAACGCAACTTGAAAATTAGGGAGAAAAAAAGGAAACTTGGCTTTTCCATATTTCACTCCCTCCTTAATATATGTTTAAATTATATGGTTGAGAATTGGATTGCAAAGGATGGGTCTGCTATACTGAGATATATACATTTCATGTCACTCAGCAATGGAGAGGCAGCAGGGGCTATTGGGCAGAGAGCTAATCTCAAAGACAATATGGCCTGCATTCAAATCCTGTCTCTGACACATCCTGACTGTGTGACCCTGAGCAAGTCACATATCCTCTGAGTGCTCTAGGCAACCCTCTGAGATTCTAAGATTCACAGAAGATATCAACTTGCATTGGTGTGGGAATTTCCTTGCCTGAGAGCTCCCCCTACCAATGAAATAATGGCTTCTGTCCCTATAAACTCAACTATATAGTTTATTTTAATATATACTCATTTTAATATATACTCACATAACTTAATATATACTCACTTAATATATAATACATACAGGTTATAGGGAGGAAAAACAAACTCACCTGTCTATTTCAAATATTCTAAAGGAAAGAAAAGGGTCTATAATCTGGTTTCTCAACCTCCAACCTTACTGCTAACTTGTTTAATCCTCCTAAAAAAATTCAGCCTTTGCTATGACCTTAAGGAAGCAGGGAAGGTTTATTGCCATTTCCAATCCAGGTGACCCAAGACAACCTCCAATTCTCATAAGACTTACCAAGCAGGCTTTCAGCTCTGTACACTGGGCGACTCACTCCGCTGTGGTTCTCTGAAGTAACCAGCACAAAGTACACTACCCCAGGCTCTGAAACATATGGTTTATATCAAGCCACTGTTTCACATCTCCAGGAGCAACACAGTTGGATTTACTAATCATTAGTTTAAATGTTATAATAAAACTTGAAAAACTGAATTAAATAATGAGCCGAACCACAGCTTCCTCATATATTATCATTTTAAATTGAGATGGCTTACTTTGTTCTAAACATAAGGAAAGTGCACCTGACTCCACTCCCTCAAAAATAAATTACTTTATACCAAAATACATACACATTGCCATAGATCTGCATCTATATGACAGAGAACATTAGCAGCTTTTCCACGTGAATTCAAAAGTTGAAGAAAAGAAATTTGCAAAATGGAAGAAGTCTCTCCATTGAATTTTCAGGGTCAAAAATTCCAACACAGAAGCTCCAAAAGAAAATTTTCACACGATTTTAGTAAAAATATCAAACTACTACAGGTGAGGGAACTTGAAATCCATCTCTAAGGATTAGAAGTATGTGCAACATTCATCACAATATCTGAATTAACAAAGAACTCTATTGCAAGAAGTAATGCTCCCTTTAACAATGTTTGCTCACTGTCTCTTGAAAATATCAATAAAAAGGAGACAGAATAATGTGCAATATTTAGGAGGTGCTCATATGGTGAAACTTGGTTCCACTTATTTGATCTGAGTTTATTTGGAAAGGTTAGATGGTTTGGCTTATTTGTCCATTTTTGGCTGAGTCCCAAGATATTCTAGCATTAGGAAAAGATATTAAACTACCCCTGACAGTACAATTTTCAGGAAGCATGTCTCCACTGGACTTCCTGTTTCAAAAAATAAGCCCCTACTAGCGTTATTTTTCCATTCTGATCAATCAGTGCTTTTCTAAAGGTACAGATCATAGGCCTGAAGAAGAGATGAAGGTTTGAGGTTTTGTTTTGTTTTGTTTTGCTTGAGAAGTGGATTTTAGCTTTGTCAAAAGAAATAATAACCATTCTCTTTACGTGGGGAGCATTTCCCCTGAGAGTACTTTTGGTTGACAAGCCAGGGATACAGCAACAACAGATGCAGTAGATATCATCTGGTATGTTTAGTGTTTCCAGGGTTGGTATTATTTCTGACTCGCCAGGGTAGAGCCCAGTGGCATTTGGGGTTTGGCACAATTTCTCGGACTAATTTACAAACGCTTTTCGTTCAGACAAAACACAAAATCATGCTTTGTCAAGCACTTTTTCTCCTCACTCTTTAAATTTACTTGTATTTCAAAGGAAATTTAATCCACATGTTTCTGATTGACTTAAACTTAACTCATCAGAAAGTTGCTTGGTAAGAATCATTTGTTGTTTAAAGAGCTGTGGAACTCTCTTTATACATGCTTAAAAGCATTTCCTCCTCTACAGCATTTTGGGAGCTGTCCATGAAACACAATCCCAAAAGGTCCAGTTCCATCCTGAACCCAGAAGTCTCATGGTTTGAGCAAGTTAGAAATTTAAGAAGATACGTAACTCTTGCTTTACTGACAGGTTTATCCATTTCTTTACACCTAGAAAAGATACCTATGGCCAAACAAAGCCAAAGTGAGGTTTCTCATAATAATCTCAAACCACAACAATTCTGGGAAGGAGATTTGGATAGTCAAGAGATGAATGACTGTCTTGCCCTTTTTACCTACTGTTAGTCTAGTAGTGTTTTCAATTCAAAATTCCAGAGCTCCTTAAGCCAAGATCTTAATGGCACCATTTTCCTGTGGGGAAGAACTGGGGGAAAAAAGTATCCTCAAGTGGCAACAGAGGTGAGACAAAATGGGTACTTTAGGGGGGAAATGCTACTCAGGCTCCACAACGATTAAATTTCATTTAATTCAAAGTTGTAAAGCCTTCAACCCAACGCTAAATAAGATACTGTTGGAAGAGATGTGTGTACTCAGGGTAAGCCCTCCATAGAACATTTGAAATAAGTACCAGAGTAAAATGAATGCATTGCTAGTTGGAATTAGGATGAGAACAATTTAATGCTTTTTACCTTTCCATCACCAGGAGGCAAGATGGCAGATTAGATGAAACACTAGACTTAGAGCCTAAAGACTTGGCTGAATTTCTGCTCTAACATCTCATGCTCATGTGGCCCAAGACAAGTATCTTAACCTCTCTGAGCCTCAGTTTTCTCAGCTGTAAAGTGGGGGTATGATTTATTAACTACCTAGCAGAATATTGTGAGGGAAACCTTTGTAAATTGGGATGAATATATATGTATATACATAGATATGTGTGTAAGGAATTAGTATTACAGATCTCCTGCTTTATTATCCCATGAATAAAAATCTCAATATTTGATGGTGGGACAAGTAAGGTGAATAATAGTGAATGCTTACGAGCCAAATGAAGACTATAACTTAACTGAAGGAGAGCTTCAAAGGAAAGGGTAAAGGGGGGAAAGAAAATTTAGGCCAAGAACAAAGAACTTGACTACTGACATACGTTGCTGTCATTCAGTCATTTTTCTCAGTTGTGTCTGATCCCATTTGAGGCTCTCTTGGCAAAGCTAATAGAGAGGCTTGCCATTTGCTATTGTTGACTGATTGATTTTCACAGCTATTCTTGGCTATTAGTGCTTCTTCCTTTAAAGTGACTTAAGGCATTTGCTCCAAAATGATTAGAGTGGGTGGAGTTTCAGGATAAATAGCTTCCAAGGCAATAAGAAATTCAAGGAAATCAAGAAGCCTGTCCATAGACTGTAGTCAAAACTCTAACTCTATGATTTCATCTAAGATATATTTGGAATATTGTAGAATTTAAAGTGTAGGCATTCTGGCAAAATTTAAAGGGCTACAAATCAAATGAATTACAGTTGAGAAGGAAAATAGCCTATTGTGAAGTACTGTGAACAAACCTTATGAATTTTCAGCCATTCTGCTGTAGTTCTCAGTTATAAGTAGGTTTTTTTAACTTTCTAATTAAAATTTCAAAAACAGGCTATTAAATTTCTTGAGTTGACAAATTTTTATAGGCTTATGCACATTATTGGCTTATATCTCAGAAAGGTCCCTATGAAATAATTCTTCAATGACATTGTAATTACATATAATTTACAGGAATCATTTGCTGACGAAACTTCACATTATTTCAGTGACGGAAGCAGAGAATATACAGAGGGGTGGTGTATAACTAAGCTGAATTTTCATTTTTATAGATATTACTTACATATCATATTTGCCTCATTATGCCATCTTTACTATACCTGAATACACAAAATTCACAGTTTCTGAAATACAAAATTGATAATATTTCAATTCATGTGTCTGAAATGAAGCATTTTGAAGACATACCTAAACTTGGCTTAGTTATTAGGTTTACCCTATATATTAGCTAATATGAATACGTGAAAAGCTGAAACATAGTGAGGTAAAATGGCTTGTACAAGAGGACCAGGTAAGAGGGCCAGAAGAGTTTGAAGCGGCCATCAGGTCACTCATGCTGAAATCGCCTCCTCTTTAACTGTAGGCCACCTTGTATTACATCAACAATCATCATACATACATCATGTTTGAATCATTCAGACCACCAAAAGTGGAGTTTGGGAAAGCAAGACCATTGTGTCACTTACCCACATCCTCAATAAGGAAGGAGTGCGTATCACCATTCACCTTGATGTAGCTAAGATTTTTCAGTGACTTCCCATAGGCAATGTTGTAATACTCCACAGGTCTAGTGGTTGCCTCTTTGGGTGGTTCCCACGTGACTTTCAGGCCCCTCTTAGTGGACTGCAGTCTCACATTCTTTGGCTTCAGAGGGTGATCAACTATGCAAACAGCGTAACTATCAACTTAGAGTAACACGAAGTTTGGTACAAGACTATCAGTCAGGGTAAATGAATAACTGCCTTCAGAAGCTATGGCTGTAATCAGTGACCATCTACAATGGGTCCCAAAGGTCTTAGTACTATTAAAAGCTTAAAACTGCACTAAAGCATTTGGGACACCCTGTATTTAAAATCATATCATTTTGAAAATACCTTTAAAAGCAAGGGAATCAAAGGATTTTAAATACAGTAACATTCAGTTATTAGTTCTTCACAACCACAATAGGAAAACAAACACAATAAGCCCACAAGCATATCGACCAGCAAATCAAAAGAAACTATACCTTCTCCCTCTCTGTGATGATCCTTTTTTTTTTAAACAAAAATGAACTAATGCTTTTGCATATTGTATGTATAGAGAAACACACTCTAAGTAAACATTGTAAAGCAATAGCAGGATTTGAGTGATAAAGCTGGTGGCTTAGGAGTATTTTTTTAATCTAAGAAGAATAATGCCATTCTATCATAATTAGTGAGGAAAAGCTACTGAATTCAAGGTTAAGACATGGAAATATTCAAATTCTTTTTTATGAAGAGACAAACTAAGATGCCAGCAACTCAAGGTAAGCGATCTGATTCTTCATTTTATACCTGATTTCAAGGTTCAACCCTCTTGACTCTGAAGAAGACAAAAGGATAATTTATAAGCACAATAGAATATAGCTTTAATTTTAAATTGATAGCCTCCAAACCATTCCCCAGTGTTTAAAAATGAGTCGCTAAAACTGCATTAATTTTAACAAAATAGACTATGACTAGGTAACTTATAACAATACAAAGGGAGGACATTAAATAGCCAAGCTATGCTCCATCAACTTTCTGGCAGTCTGGATCTGATGCTTACTATTGTGGAACATAAGGCACTCACATCAAAGAAAAATCACACTCAATAAAACAGAGAGTTTTAAATAAAAATTTTAAAATTAGTAACATTTACAAAAGAGGAAGGGGAAAAGGATGGCACACACATTATGTTAAGGGATGGAAACATGATGGGGTAAATGATTTTTAACACTGAATGAGAGGACTGAATTTAATTAGTAAATGTTTTGGAAATATAGTTACAAACTAAAAAATTCTGGTTATTCTTTTCAAAAGTCAGCTTTTTGTCTTTAAAAGTGAAGCACTTTTTGATCAAAGAAACTCCCAAGTGATAGAAGGATTTGATGATATTTGAAGCTTTTAGATAAAGAATGTCCACTTGATGGCATGGGTTACACTATTATCCACTAATCAAATTATATACATATATATAAGTATACAGGTTATTGAGCAAAAGCCGGGGGAGAAATGGAAATTTATGAATAATCCTTTTCCTTACCATTGAATTCTATTTTGAAAGTAAAACATCATGCCTTGATGAGAAGAGTTTGCACAGGAAAACTGAAGGAGATTGGCTTTGTCATGAAATGTAAAGTCTTTAATTCAAACATAATTGTGAATTCAATACTTAGTTTGTAAACAACACAGAATCCACCTATGTCAAATAATTAGCCTTTGTTAATGGGATAATTCACGAATCTGCCAGTTTTTTTCTCTCTTCATACCTGCTGGCTTTATCTTTCACTGTGATATACATTACAATCCATACCCAGGAATTCATCTGTCCTCAAAAGGTTAGACAACATTCCCTCTCCCCCGACAAAAAAAAAGGAGTTTAGCCATTTAGGATTATTCAAAACCATCTGGACTACTGGTACTGATCAAATAAAAGGAAGAAATAAATCTGGGCCTAACATGAAATAGTTCGGCCTTTCAAAATAGCCTAATTCCCAAAACCTGAATGTCCCACACATACCTCCTAATAGAGTTCATTGTTTTATTTGTTTCTGTTTATCCTAATTCAGAAATAACTTGGTTTTTGCTTCAATTATAAGTAATTACTAATAAGTAATCAGTGTCTTGATTCATCTGAAATGGTGTCAAACTATTCTACTGACAATTTGGCTCAGTCACTGCCTTTATAGCACTTGGAAAACAAAAGGAAATAAATCTCATTTTTACTCTAAAATAAAGACAACAGAATGGATGTCCCTGATACAACATAAATTACCTTCTTAATGAAATTTGCCATGAATGACTTTGCCAATTTATTGTATCAATTGAAAGCTAATCAATTTGGCCAGAGCTGACCTAAGCCAAACTATGAAGAGACTAAAGTCTATTTTTGGTTGTTACATCCTTTCTTTTCTGAACCTTTCTCCCTTTTCATGTATGGTCTCTTTCTCACATTTCCCTATACACTCTAAACTACCCCCTATTAGTCAGTGCTCAGTGAACTCATTCAGAAAGGTATCTTAGAAATGCTTTCATACCGAAATACAAATAATCAATAAGGCTTCAAAGACAACTCTCCTAGAGATATTTGAATTTTACCTGTATAAAAAGCCTTAAACAAACAAAATGAATCTTGAATGACAAGATCTGAAACATAAGCAACATGGATGGTGGAAGTATTTTGGGAGTATCAGGGCCTTTCTCAGGCGGCTGAAATCATACCATGCAGGCCTCCATATACTCTACCTGTTCATAAAGTCAAAATGAATTTAAGTTTCTTGTTTCACAAAGTAGATTACTCCATGTGGCAACATGTGAATGAATAACATTTTCCCAAACAAGTAAACAAAGTCTATCAATAGCCACTTTTTTTAAGACTATCTTTTCAACCTTGATGTTTGAAGCTGATGTCCCAGACGGGATTCTTACCCAACATTATCAACACCTAGCCCAACCAGAAAGGAAATGGGAATAAGCTGGGCAAAAGACAACCTTTGCTGAGGTCCCTTTTTTCCCTTCTCAATCCTTTTAGCCTGAGGCGAACTCTTGTCAAAGCAACTGACGACTCCCCTGTATGGGTACTGAAGGTTACTTACATGGTTCTGGGAGGAAAGCATTTTAGGCAGGTGTAGATCTGCCTGATAGGAAATGGTCTGACGAAAAATTTGCTTTCATTGCCAGAAGTATGACATTTCCCTCTATTTCTCATCTTTATTTTGAAGACCTACATGGCTTTGTTGTTGTTGAGGTTTTGTTTGTTTGTTTTTACTATAAAATCATGCAGTCACTAACAGTTTGGGAGTTGGCATTGTGTCATGTTGGGAGATTATAAAAGAATGCAACAAAGTCCTGGCACATAGAAAGCGCTTAATAAATGCTTGTTGATTTGAACTAGCCTGGAAGGTTAAGGTAGAACGTCCTCCCCAATGTAATTATCTTCTTTAGGTGGCTAATCTGGACAGCATACTAAAAAGCAGATGTATCACCTCACCAACAAAGATCCATATAGTCAAAGTGATGGTTTTTTCAGTAGCAATGTATGGCTGTGAGAGTTAAACTATAAGGAAAGCCAGGCACTGAAGAATTGGTGCTTTTGAATTGTGATGCTGGAGAAGACTTCTGAGAGTCCCTTGGACAGCAAGGAGATGAAATCATTCAACACTTAAAGAATTAATTCAGACTATTCACTGGAAGGTTTAAATACTTTGGCCACATGATGAGAAGACAGGACTCATTGTAAAAGACTCTGATGTTGGGAAAGATTGAAGGCAAAAGGAAAAGGGAATGGCAGAGATGGATAGATAGTGTCATGGAAGCAATGAACATGAGCTTGGACAGACTTTGGGAGATGGTGGGGCTTGTGTGCTATAGTCCATGGGGTCATGAGAAGAGTCAGAGACAACTGAATAACTGAACAACAAAAAACAACAGAATCTCCTTTAGAATTAATTCTTCTTGAGGGAAAGCATGATGTACTCGTAGATTTCTGGTCCTGGAGTAAGGGAGAACTGGACACATATCTTTCCTCTGACACTAGCTGAGCATGAATGGGCAAGTCACCTAATATCTGTGGACCTCACACAACTCTCTGAGACTTATCTTCTAAGCTACAGACAGTAATCCAACTCTTAGCATAGGGATTATGCTGAGGATACAAATAAAAAGCAAATACCACTATGTACCTTAGATATGGGGTTTCCACTTGAAATCACAAATTCTCATTGGATATTCTGCTTATCTTAGGCAAACGCTACTGGGACCTCCTTTTAACATCCTGATAGCTGGCACTCCAAAGAAAAAAGGAACTACAAAAGAGGGGATCTTAAGATGCAACTGGAATCATTTAACTTGATACAGAAAAGGGTGGGAGGTAGCTGAAGAAGACTAGAGTATGTGACAGGTTATTGTCTACTCGTTTGGTTACCAGATGTTCTTTTTCTCCAGAGGAAGCAAAATGAGGAAATGGGTTTAAGCTGCAGCATAAGGGATTTAGGTTAAATAAAAAGAAGAATTTCCTCCCTGGATCTTTCCCCATCCCCACCCATTCAAGAGAGACATATGCTCAGTTCCTCCAGACAGGGCTGGGCAACTGGAAACAGTGTGTTGGGGCTCAAGCTACTTCACTTTATCACTGGTATTGTTACTTGTGGCTCCCCACAGTCAATGTTATCCAGACCTTGTATAGTGGACCCTGCATAAAACAATACCAGTGTGACCCTTTGATGATTTTGCTGATACATTTGCAAAAAACAAGGTACTACCCAAGGAATGTTAAGTGTGAAAATCACCAGGCTAGGTGGTGCTGGGTCCATTTGAGATCATTACCTGCCAATATTTTATCACAGAAGCCAGCTGCTAATTACTGATATGAAACCCTGAGACATTAAAAGGTCATTTTATAGTTCTTTTTTTGAGGAAAAAAAAAAGAAAGTTTTAATTTGGGTTCTAATTAGGGGTTGCTCAGTCTTCAACCTCCAACTTCACTTTCCTCTTTTCCTAACCTTCACCCTGTAGTTAAGTAGCTCAACTCTCCACTGTCCTGTTCTCTTGAATTCCTTGCCCCTTTGTACTACCAATACTCACATCAATCAATCAATAAACATTTATTAAATACTGTGCCAAGCACTCTGGGGATACAAAAAGAGGCAAAAGACAGTCCCTGT